GTTGTACCTTAGCAGTAGTATCATTTTAAGTGAGTTAAGTTCCAGTTGTTTGGTAGTCGCTCCCCCTTTCCTACTTCGAGTTTGTACGAACTTTTACCGGTAATCTCAACAATTCGATAAAGACCTTCCCAATTCTATCCCATCTCCCTTTGTTTTGGCTCCTGGTGTTCCGTGTCACCTTTCTTAACACTAAGTCCCTGACATTGAAGTGACAGAGGTTGGCTCTCTGGTTGTAATACCTTTCGATCCATTGCTTCTGGGCGGCCATCCCTACGAGGGTGGCATCACGCCTTTCATCCAACAGTTCTAGGCTTGTGTCCATGGCCTCACCGTTTGAGTCTTCGATTGTATCTCAACCTAAAACTCGGTTATCCTACCTCGACCGGTATTAGCACTTTGGCACCATTGACCAACGAGAATGGGGTAGCCCCAGTACTAGATTTTGAGGTCATACGATATGCCCATAGTACTTCGAGCAAAATTTCCTTCCATTTTCCTTTGGTGTCGGTCAATTTCTTCTTGAGATTTTGGAGTATATCTTGTTATTAGACTCCGCTTGCCCTTCCTACTAGGGTGATAGGGTGTTGATAGGATCCTATTGATCTTATTGCCCTTCCATACTGCCGATGAATTGCTTCCCATTGTCGCATACAATCTCAGCCGGCATTCCGAATCGGTATATTATATGGTCCCAAATAAAATAAATAACTTCTTTCTCCCCGACTTTCACAAATGGCTGGGTTTCAACCCATTTATAAAAATAGTCAATCATAAATAATATAATTTGAGCCTTACCGAGTGCCCATGGCTGGGGCCGACAATGTCCATTCTCCTTTTCATGAATGGCTAAAGGTGACAAGACCGAATGTAGTAACTCCCTGGGCTGGTGGATCATCGATGCATGCCTCTGACATTTGTAGCACTTTAGTACGCACTCCTTTACATCTTTCTCGATCCAGTAGTAGTCAGCTCTGATGATCTTACAAATTAGCAATTCGGCACCCGAATGATTCCCGCAGGTGCCCTCGTGAACTTCCCTCAAGACATATTTGGTATCTCCTGGTCTCAGACATATGGCGAGTGGTCCATTGGACGTTCTCCTGAATAAGGTGTTATCTTAAAACATGTTGAACCTTGCCGCCTTCGTGCGTAGAGCTCTTGATTATTTAGGGTCCGAGGTCAACTTCCCGGTCTTCATGTAATCTATATACTTGTTTCTCCAATCCCAGGTTATGCTTGTTGAGTTTATCTTGGCTAGGCCCTCTTCTACTATCAATTTCATGAGTTGTACGGCCATTCCCAAGCTGAATTTATCATCATCAACCTACTATCCCAAGTTAGCTATAGCATCGGCCTCATTGTTTTGATCTTGGGATATATGTTGCAGGGTCCACTCCTTGAATCGATGCAATGTTAGCTGCAGTTTATCCAGGTATCTTCGCATTTGTTCCTCTTTCACTTAGAACGTCCCATTGACCTGATTCACCACCAGGAGTGAATCGCACTTAACTTTGATCACTTTGACCCCCAAGTTTTTAGCCACTTCGAGACCTTCGATCATGGCCTCATACTCAGCCTCATTGTTAGTCAATTTTACAGTTCTAATATATTGCCTAACTACATTACCCGTTGGTGGATTTAACACAATGCCAAGTCCGTACCATTTTTGTGTTCGAGGCATTGTCCGTAAAGAGGGTCCGGATCCCCGAGGACCCCGAGTTTAACAATAATTCCCTTTCAAATTCGGGTACTAGGGATGGCGTGAAGTCGGCCACGAAGTCTACCTAAATTTGGATTTGATGGCGGTTCGGGGTCGATATTCGATATCGTACCCGCTGATTTACACGACCCATTTGGCCAATCGTCCTAAGAGCTCGAGTTTATGCATTATGTTTCTCAAAGGGTAGGCAGTTACGACACATATGAGATGGCAATGAAAGTACGACTTTAACTTTCTAGAGGCACTTAGCAAAGCGAGCGCCCATTTTTCCAGGTAAGGATACCTAGTTTCGACCTCACCTAGAGTCCTGCTAATGTACTAGATAGGAAATTGCGTACCTTCCTCTTTCCGGACCAAGACTCCACTTACCGCTATCTCAAACAATGCTAAGTACAAGTACAACTACTCATCTGCCTTTGGAGTATGAAGCAAATGCGTGCTCAAAAGGTACCGCATGAGTTCTTCCAAGGCTTGTTGGCACTCCAAGGTCCATGAAAAGTTATTTCTTCAATAACAAGAAGAACCGGTGGCTATTATCGGAGGACCTTGAAATGAATCGATCCAAGGCGGCTATGTGCCCGGTTAGCCTTTGAATGGCCTTGCCATTGTCCATCACGGTGATGTCCTTAATGGCCTTGATCTTATCGAGATTGATCTTGATTCCTCGGTTGGACACCATGAATTCGAGGAACTTTCCGGACCCGACTCCAAATGCGCATTTCTCTGGGTTAAGCTTCATATTGTATTTCTTCAACATGCTGAAAGTTTCCTGCAAATGTTTTAAATGGTCCTCTGCTCGCAGGGACTTAACTAACATGTCTTTAATGTAAATCTCCATTGATTTTCCTATTTGTTCTTCGAATATCCGATTTACTTAGTGTTGGTAAGTGGAACCGACGTTTATGAGTCCGAATGGAATTACGTTATAACAATAGGTGCCATATTTAGTGATGAAGGAAATTTTTTCTTGGTCGTCCGGGTCCATCCGGATTTGGGTGTACCCGGAGTAGGCGTCGAGAAAGTTGTGTATCTCGTGGCCGGTCATTACATCGATCATGTGATCAATGTTAGGCAAAAGTAAAGAGTGTTTGGGGCATGCCTTGTTTAAGTCTTTATAGTCTACGTGAATTCTCAATTTATTTCACTTGAGGACTTAAAATAAGATAATATATCCTTTGGAAATGGAAAGAAAGGTGAGATTATTGGGGTTGGAAAGATAGGTAAGATAGACTCACATTCCATTGAGAATGTCTACTTGATAGATGGCTTGAAATATAGCCTAATAAGTGTATCACAACTGTGTAACAGAGGTAACCTTGTAGCACTCACCTCTACCAAATGCTTTGTAATTAACCTTACCACTGACAAGATTGTTTTGCAGGGAAAAAGAGTTTACAATATTTACATTATAGATTTGTTTACTCTTTCAGAAAATAAACTCACTTGCTTAAGTGTGTTGGATAATGATCCCTTCCTGTGGCACAAAAGACTTGGTCATGCAAGTCTGAATCAACTCAACAAATTAGTCTCTAAGGACTTGGTGATAGGGCTACCTAACATCAAGTTCAAGGAATACAAAGTTTGTTAGGCATGTGCAAGGGGGAAGCAGGTAAGATCATCTTTTAAAAGCAAAAAAATGGTAAGCACAACCAGGACGTTGGAACGGGTTCATATGGATCTCTGTGGTCCAATGCGAACATTGAGCAGAGGTGGTAAGAAATATGTGATGCTATTTGTTGATGATTATTCTAGATTTACCTGGGTACTATTCTTAACATCTAAAGATGAAGCATTTGACATGTTTACTACTTTTGTTAGAAAGACTCAGAAACAACTAGGTAATCAACTTGCATCCATTAGGTCTGATCAAGGAACTGAATTTGAAAATGCTAAGTTTGTTGAATTTTGTGATGAGCATGGTATAGATCATAACTTCTCTTCCCCTAGGACTCCTCAACAAAATGGAGTAGTTAAAAGAAAGAACAAGACTCTTGAATACATTGCTAGGACTATGCTTCTTTCTAGTAAACTGCCCCACAATTTCTGGGCGGAGGTTGTAAATACTGCTTGTTATATCACCAATAGATGTATGACTAAACCTATTGTAGAGAAGACTCCCTATAAGTTACTTAAAGGGAGAAAACCAAATATATCCCATCTTAGGGCATTTGTATGCAAATGCTTTGTGCACAATAATGGAAAGGACTCCCTAGATAAGTTTGATCCCAGAAGTGATGAGGGAGTACTCTTGGGATATTCTTCACATAGCAAAGCATATAAAGTGTACAATAAAAGAACTTTGTGTGTAGAAGAAAGTGTGCATGTAGTGTTTGATGAAACTAACATTCTTTCTGAGAGTCAGGAACATGAAGATGAAGCTATTGGGTTGGTAAAGGATTTGACTGAAGTTTCAGCACAAGTTAAAGTGGCATCAAAAGAAGGAACATGTGATGGAACAGGTTCCTCCATCCAGGGCAACCTGATAGGGGAACTGATCAAAGAGAAATAGAAACCAATCCCCTAAAGGAACCTGTTTATGACCCTGTTCCTCAGCAACAGAGCATGTGAGAAACATTTAGCAGAAATCAGTTGGTTGTGAAATCTCACAAGTATCAAAGTTCTCATCCTATTGAGAACATAATCACTAATCCAACCTCTGGAGTCAAAACTAGATCACAATTAAAGAATCTGTGTGCCTTTGATGCTTTCCTATCTCTTATTGAACCTAAAAATGTTGTTAAGGCTTTGCAGGATACAGATTGGTGAATGCAATGCAAGATGGACTCAATCAGTTTGAGAGAAGTCAAGTCTGGCATCTAGTTCCAATACCCAAGGACAGATCAGTTATTGGCACAAAATGGGTTTTCAAAAACAAGTTTGATGAAGATGGAACAGTTACAAGAAATAAGGCAAGACTGGTGGTCCAAGGTTACAGCCAAAAGGAGGGTATAGATTATGATGAGACTTTTGCTCCAGTTGCAAGACTAGAGGCAATATGACTCCTCATAGCCTTTGCAGCACACATGAAATTCACTCTTCATCAGATGAATGTCAAAAGTGCCTTCCTGAATGGCTACCTAAAAGAAGAAGTGTTGATTAGACCTCTAATTGACCACTGCTAAAAGTTGTCGTTACCTATTAAATATGTATTTCTCTTTAAATACACTTCATTTCTTCTGCCATCTCCATAATTCCAAACCGTCAAAAAATTCTTCTTCACATTCACTTGCCCTATTCTCCAAAATTCTAATTAACAAACTCTCTCAAGAAACCAATGATCATGACCAACCCACAAGACAATCCTGAAACTCCTCCACCACCCACTCCCTCAAATTCATCCACACCTCCTCCACCCAGTACATCTCCAAAACCCAGACTGAGAAGGGTAAAAATGCTTGCTCGAAAGACAGTAGCATCTGGGGTTCTGAATAAGAAATTAAATGAGAAGTTGAAGGCAAGCTAGGCCCAAAACTCCGACTCCAGATCTGATTCTGAAACATATCAATCCGCTACTGAGAGGGAAGGACCTCAGTCTTCTGACTCTGAAAAGACTCAAGAATCTCCTTCTAAGGTAATTTCTTCTGTGTCTAAAAATCTAGAAACTAGGTTTGTTCTGGTTGGGTCTGTTATGGATGTAGAATTTCCAGGATCACGAAGGAGTGGAGGTAAAAAGAATACTGAAAAAAGAAAAAGAGAGAGAGAGAGGGTGCATGTGGTAAAGAGAGGGGAAATGGGAAAATAGTGGTGCCTGCTATCTGTGGGGTTGTAAAAGAAAGGGTAGAAGAGAGTGGCAAGAAGTCAGAGGGAAGTGGTTTTGGGGAAGCTGCTGAGGGGTTGGTTAATCTGAGCACACAGAAAGATGAACCTAGCTCATCTACTAAAGAGACCCTAGCAGACCTACTGAAAAAGGTTGGGGCAAGCTATGACCCAAAGAAATGTAGAACTCCCACAACAAAAACCCCTAGTGTCCCTGAGCCCTCCACGAAAAGAAAGGCTTCACCCCTATCAATTACTGAATTTCCATTACAAAAGGGTAGAGCTATAAGAAATAGGGTGAGGCAAAGTGAGAGTGATCTCCAGAAAGCACTAGATGAGAGTAAGAAGAAAAGGTTGACTAAAGGAAAGGGGAAGGTTACAGAGTCCTCAGAGGAAGTGGATGTTGAGGAAATGGAACAGGTCCATTAGGAGGAAGTTCAACCAGTGGAAGTTCAGACCCCCAAGCCCAAAAAGCCCAAGACTTCTTCCAAGAAGTCTTCCTCTGTGTCTGAGGCTTTTGAACCTTCACTAGCCAAGAGAACAAGGTCTACTGTGAAAGGAAAACAAGTAAGAATTTCTAAAGATGAGGAATGGAGTGGAGAAGAAGTAGAAGATTCTGATGGTGAAAAGGACAAGCTTTCCATGTTTGGCAAAAGAAAGATTTTGAAGGGTAGACTACTGAAAGACCTGGTGTAGCCAGGAATGATGAGACTGGTGGAGGCCTTAGCTACTCAGGGGTGGAAGGACATGGTCTTTCAAATGGATGGTACGCTATCCAGGAATGAGATAATTGAGTTCATGAAAAATGTAGAGGCTCAAGATGGCAAGGTTAGCAGTTTGGTAAAAGGAGTTCAAGTGTCCTTTGATGCAAAAAACTTGGAGAAATCCTTGATATACCCTTTGAAGGGTTTGATGATTACACATGGCAAAGGTGGCCTTGTCTGGACTCCCTTCCTACTGCCCTTAAGATTACTAGAAGGTTTTGTGATGCAGAGAATGTAAATGAAGCCAGGGCTGTTCAAAAAAGTGAAATGAGGCCTCAACACAAGGTCTTGTTTGAATTTGTCAACAAATGCTTATTGCCCAGACAGGAGAGAAGGCACATTGCCAATTATATGGACCTAGTTCTTATGGAGTGCCTGGAAAGTGGAAGGCAAATCAATTGGCCCGCCTTCATTATCAAGCTGCTAGACAGGGTCATCAATGGCTCCAAGGCTCATGCCACTCCTTATGGCTTTATTTTGACCACAGTTCTGGATAGGTTCAATGTGCCTCTGAAGAAATGGGAAATGGCCTCAAGCAAGGAACATTTTGGCATTAACACTCTGATTGCTTGTGACTACTTAGTCAGTACCATCCCCAATGAACCTGGTTCATCCAAGAAGACTCCTATCAACAGCAAAGTCAGGGCTCTGGTTCAGGAATGTGAAGCCAAGGATGCTGAGATAGCTAGGCTTAAAGATCGTGTGGCAGAGGTGGAATCTGAGCGGGATACTCTCAGAACTGAGCTTACCAAAGAAAAGGATAAGAATGATGAAATTCTTCATAATATGTTGAATTTTCACCAAGTCCAAAACCAACCCTCTTGCTCCTCCAAGCCATAGGAATCCTAAATTTTGTCTTCTGAACCTGTCTAGGACCCTCAGTGACCCAGATTCGGGATTTTTTCTATATTTTTGCTCATGTTTTAAATGTTGCTTTCTGGTTTTGGATTGTGGTAGCAACATATCTCTATCAATGATATCTACTGTTTTTTGCTCTTGTTCATTGTTAATCTTTCCTTGATAGTTTAAATATGTTTGTTTGATTACTGATGATTAAACCATGATAGCACTTGCAGTTGCCCCAGTGGCCATGAGTACTTATTAAAATCTGGGACTCACACTTTGTATGCAACTTTTCGATGAGATATTGTGCTTTACACATTCTGAAAAAGTGATATTTATAACTTAATTAACCTGGTCCTTGATGATAAGTGAATTTTCTAAACTTTGTATTGATGATTAAGCTGAATTCTTAAAGGATCCATATAAGTAAAAAGGTAAAAAGTTTGTCATCATCAATAAAGGGGAATTTGTTGGTCCATGAACATGTGAAGTTTTGAAGATTGCCAAAAGAACTCAGACATGGACCAGGTCCATCTTGTGAAGCACAGTCATGATCAACCTGTCCATGTGAGATGCACGTGAAGGATATAAGTCTAACTGATCAAGCAGCAATATCTCCTGATCTGATCGAAAAGGTTGCATATTGGATAAGGAGAGAAAAACTTGTTACATGAAGAGAACATAGTTTAGGATGAAGATAGTGTTAGAGTTTGAGATCATCATGAACTCTTCTACGATAGAAGAGTAGCAATTGAATCTCATTCAAACTCTGATTACTAACCTATTAAATGTTAATATTGTTCTATTTTACAGGCAATACACATAAGCAGAAGTTAAACTTAAATTGAGAGCAAAAGAGCAAGGCGATTTTGCAAGCAATTTATGTGTGATTTGAGTGTGCAATCCTGAAGCTACTTGAAAGAGATAGAAGAACCAGTTCCATGTGTCTATCTTTTATTCCAATTCAATTGTAGTAGGTGATTTTACGTTGTACCTTTCAGCTTTCATAGAAGCAATTGTATTAGGTACCTAGAGTGTTCAAGTTAGAGTTAACTTGAAGTTGTCGCAATAGATAAGGTTGTGTGCCACAATGGGATTAGAGTTAATCCTTAGGTTTACAAAGAGTTTTTGTAAATTTTGTTTTGGCTCAGTGATTTTAGTGGAAGTTTGGGAAAATCCTACTGAGTAGTAGGTTGTGGTTTTTCACCTTTTGAGCCAGGTGTTTTCCCCGTAAAAATTTCCGTGTTCTTTATTTTCTGTATTTATTATTCCGCAAACAATAGTAGTTGGAACACCTAGAAGGACCAGGTCCTTCCATAGTTAAGTTAAGCGAAAATTGGGTACCACACAAATCACCCCCCTCTTGTGTGGTATTGACGCTTAAAATATCAACAAGTTTACATCTTATACAATATTTAAGCTTACATCTTAATAAACATCAATAATGCATGCATGAATAGAGCATAAATTTATGATCATCGAGCACTAAGTAGCATTTAAGCTTTTGTTTCTGGAGCACACACCATCACTTATGCGATTGCGCACTGCCTTCAAGTTTGTTCACGAGACCTGTTTTTGTGTAACTGAATATTTTGTTCAACGCATCAACATAGGCTTGGACACTTGAGACGACAATGTCCATATGCGCTCCTGTTCCACTGGCAATATAGAAGAGACAACACATTTCAACATATATAATTAAAGGTCCTAAGTTCAAATCTCACCGCTACTCAAAATGTAGAATGATCCCCATGTAACAAAAATTAGGCTATGAGGTGAGTATACTGATATGGTATCCATCTCATTCAATTGATTTGGTAGCCAATTTTGTTGACTTGGTTTGGTTTGACAGCCAACCTTGTTGAATTAGTATAATTTGGTAGCCAATTTTATTGACTTGGTTTGGTTTGGTAGTCAACCTTGTTAAAATTGTGAAAAGGGTATGCAAATTGTCAAATATTGTAGGCTTTAGAGAGTGAGGTTTTGGCTATAAAATGAGAGTTTTAACTCTCATTTCTATACACCAACAAAGAGAGAAAAGAGAGAGAGCAAGGTATTCCATAAACTATAAGAAAATAGTTTGTAAAGAAAAATAGAGTGTGATATTGTAGTGAGGTAAAAAAGCAAAAAAGTGTTTATTTCTTTTGAGGGTGTAGTGGGCTTATGAGTATTTTTACTCGTTACTACACAGTGTAAAATTCCTCGCTATAGTGATATCAGTTGCTCTTCTTGGCCGTGATTTTTCACTTATTCAGAAGGGTTTCCACGTAAAATCTTGGTGTCATTATTGATGTATTTCTATTCTTGCTGATTTAACCATAACTTAGTGTTCCGCGTTTATCACTAATACCGTTAATATTATTTTTATCGGGTTTATTCCCAACAAGTGGTATTAGAGCCAAGGTTCTGTCTGAGTATTCTCTGTGGTTGCAGCACAGTCTGAACTTCCACATCAGAAAAGAATTACTTTGGTCTCCTAATAAATAGTATTTGTATTTGTGATAAACGATGGAAGCCAATACTAGTAGAATGATTACTTTAAATGGCACAAATTATGCCATCTGGAAGGGCAAAATGGAAGATTTGCTCTATGTCAAGAATTTTCATCAACTTGTCTTCACCACTATAAAGCCTGATAATAAATCAGATGAAGAGTGGAGTTTGTTACACAGGCAGGTTTGCGGCTTTATTAGACAGTGGGTTGACGATAATGTTTTGAACCATATTTCTGGGGAGACACATGCTCGGACCCTATGGGAGCACCTTGAAAGTTTGTATGCTCGAAAAACTGGAAATAACAAGATGTTTCTGATAAAGAAGATGTTGGGTTTAAAATACCATGATGGTTCCGCGATGACAGATCATCTGAATAATTTTCAGGGGATCATGAATCAGTTATCTACTATGGGCATTTAATTTGATGATGAAATTCAAGGCCTGTTTCTACTTGGTTCCCTACCAGATTCTTGGGAAATTCTTAGAACTTCGTTATCAAATTCTGCTCCGGATGGTGTGATCTCTATGGATCTTTCCAAGAGCAGCCTTTTAAATAAAGAGATGAGAATAAAATCTCAAGGTTCCTCCTCATCAGATGTCTTGGTGACTGACTCTAGGGGGAGAACCAAGAATCGAGGTTCTCAAAATAGAGAACATAATAGAAGCAAATCCAGAAGTAAACTTAAAGATATTGAGTGCTATCATTGCGGGAAGAAAGGGCACACAAAGAAGTTCTGCCGAATTTTGAAAAAGGAGAATAGAGGCAAGGAAGAACAGAAAGAAGATGGCAATTGTGTGGCCATCGTCACTACAGAAGATCTTGTTACTATCCTTAATGTGAATCTGATAAATATTGCTTGGGATGAGTCAAGCTGGATTGTGGATAGTGGTGCCGCATCTCATGTGACATCAAGGAAGGAATTTCTCTCATCCTATACTCAGGGTGACTTTAGAACGTTGAGTATTGGTAATGAGAATGTATCAAGGGTGGTTGGTGTTGGAACGATTTGTTTGGAAACTAGTATTGGAACTAAACTATTTTTAAACAATGTAAAACATGCACCTGATGTTCGTTTGCACTTGATCTCTGTTGGTGTTTTGGATGATGAGGGATATGTCAGTACCAATGGTGCTGGAAAGTGGAAGCTCACTAATGGTTCCATGATTGTGGCTCGTGGGGAAAAGCATCGTGGTCTATACTGGACTACGGTCTCTACCTGTGTTGATATGGTGAATGTCGTTGAGAGCCATAACTCTTCAATGTTATGGCATAAGAGGCTTAGCCACATTAGCAAGAAAGGACTAAATGTTCTGGCCAAGAAGAAATTGTTGTCAAATTTGAAAGTGCAAAATTAGAAAAATATGAGCACTGCTTGGCTGGAAAACAAAAAAGAGTTTCTTTTCAGTCTCATCCTCCTTCAAGAAAGATAGAGTTGCTTGAGTTAGTGCATTCAGATTTATATGGTCCAATGAAGAAAAAGACTTTGGGTGGTGCACTTTATTTTGCTACATTTATTGATGATTGTTCAAGGAAACTTTGGGTCTACATCTTGAAGACTAAAGACCAAGTGTTGGGTGTCTTCAAGTAGTTTC